TCTTTAGAGCAGGATTATAAGGTGGAAAAGTCTTTAGGAACTTACAAACCCACACTTAGTTGTCTTGTTTCCTAGAGCAGGTCCTTCTTAGTACCACTGTAGTGTTCTAAGATAAAGGAAAATGTAGTCCTGCCTCCTTGACTCTTAGTACCTAGAAGTCACAGATACCTCTTCAGCAGCATTTTCAGATAATGAGGCATTGCTACTGTCATCCAACTTGTTTTCCTCCCTCACTCCTCTATTGTCACCTGGAAGACTCATGTAAAAGTAAAGCGGAATGCCTTTGGGAATCAAACTAGAATAGTAGTCAGTAAACAATTACAGGCAAACTGTGACTACACTTCAGGAAACAAATGTAAAAGAGTTAAGCAAAATTGAAGTTGATTTCTTTAACCACAAATATAGATAGTTGGTCCAGAGCTGGAGTGGTGGCTCCATGATGTCAGGGCTCAGGATCGTTCTCTCTCATTCTATTGTACTAGATCATCTGATCATCTTGAACTTGTAGATTCCATATGGTGGTCCAAGAGGGCTGCAGGCATCTTAGACTTGTACCCAGCACCCAAACTGGCAGGTAAACTGCAAAACCAAGAGAACAAGAAGGGCCTACCACTCTTTTAAGACATTTCATAGCAGCTGCACATACAGCTCCCATTTATATGCCATTGGTCACAATTTGGTCATACAGCCAACCTAGCCATAACAGAGGATGGAAATGCATTCTTTGTATCATGCACCCAGGTACACTGCTGAAACTTGGGGACTCTATTACTACAGATTTAAAAAGGGATTGTGACCCCAAAAAAAGTTTTTTTAAAAAATAGAAGACAGTATCAAATAGTGGGGGATAAATAGCAGCCCCATCCTAAAGTTTCTCTTTCCCTTTTTTGTAACGACCAATGTTACAGTACTTATTAAGAACTGAGTACTCTCCTAAGTATTGTTGGTTTTGTTTTGGTTGTTTGATTGATTCATTAAATCCTTACAATAACACTCTGGGTAAGGTTCTATTATTTACTTTTTACAATTGAGGAAATTGAAGCACAGAGAAATGAAATAACTTGCCCAAGGTAACACAGCTAGAAAATTGCAGAGGTGGAATTTGAACCAGGCAATTTGACTTATCCATTATGCTATACCACCTTCTCTCTGCTATATTTCAAAATATTTTTAGTTCTTTAGATGAGGCAAGGAAAAAGGCCTAATCTACATAATTTTTTATTCAGAAAATAAGGGTAATTTTTTATTCAGAAAACAAGGGTATAAGGGTAATATAAGGGTAATATTAGGGTATAAGGGTAATTTTTTTATTCAGAAAACAAGATATAAGGGTAATATACCTATTAGCTAGTAATGTCTTTTTCTTTTTCTTTCTTTTTTTTTTTTTTTTTTTTTTTTGAGACAGAGTCTCACTCTGTCGACCAGGCTGAAGTACAGTGGCACAATCTCGGCTCACTGCAACCTCTGCCTCCCGGGTGCAAGCGATTCTCCTGCCTCAGCCTCCTGCGTAGCTGGGATTACAGGCGCGCGCCATCACGCCAGGCTAATTTTTTGCATTTTTAGTAGAGCCAGGGTTTTACCACGTTGGTCAGGCTGGTCTCGAACTCCTGACCTGATGATCCACCCACCCGCCTTGGCCTCCCAAAGTGCTGGGATTACAGGCGTGAGCCACCGTGCCCGACCAATTAGCTAGTAATTTCAAGGACTCACTTATAGGGCCTTTTTCTACATTCAGGGCCTTTTCAACTCCTATTTCCCTTTCCAGAATCATTTTTGCAAGTCTGCTTCCTTATCATTCAATTCTGAATTCTAATGTCACGTCCTCAAAAAAGCCTTCCTGACCATCCTATTTAAATTTACAGCTATCTCCACCCATCATTTTTTCTTTCATAGCACTTGTCACCCTCTAAAATCATTTTTTATACTTACTTGTCTATTGCTTGTCTCTCCCTACCAGAATGTAAGGTTTAAGACACATGTTTTCTCTACCTCATTCTTCCCAGTTGTCTCAGCATCTATGTATGCAATTCGTATTTGGTAAATATGAGAAAAATAAAAATACCCCTTGGTGTCACCAACGGAACTGACACTTCAGTGTTGTTAGGAATTGGCTGTGGTGTTCCCCTGTTAAAACGTAACAATCTCACAAAACACTAACATTATACTGAGAGGTGACAATGTGCTAGCAGCCCTCACTCTCAGCGCCTCCTTGGCCTCCGGCCTCGGCGTCCACTCTGGCAGGGCTTGAGGAGCCCTTCACCCCGCCACGGCACCGTGGGAGCCCCTTTCTGGGCTGGCTGAGGCCTGAGCGTCCTCCCTCTGCTTGTGGGGACGTATGGAGGGAGAAGAAGCGTGGATGGGAACTGGGGATGCGCTCGCCGTCAGGTGTGAGTTCCGGCGGGCGCCTGCAGCCACCGGCACCACAGGCCCAGGGCAGTGAGCGGCTTAGCACCCGGGCCAGCAGCTGCAGAGGTTGCGCCCGGTCCCCAAGCAGTGCCGACCCGCCAGCGCTGCACTCAAAATCTCATGGGGTTTAGCTGCCTCCCGGCGGGGCAGGGCTTGGGACCTGCAGCCCGCCATGTCTGAGCTCCCCGTCTGCGGTGGGCTCCCGCCTCCCCAACGGGCGCCGCCCCCTGCTCCGTGGTGCCCGGTCCCATGGACAGCCCAAGGGCTGAGGAGTGCAGGCGCGGCTCCCGAGGGGCGGGCAGCTCTGCCTGCATCCCTGGTGCAGGATCCACTAGGTGAAGCCAGCTGGGCGGGGATGGGGAACTTTTATATCTAGCCAGAGGATTGTATGCACATCAATCAGCACTCTGTGTCTAGCTCAGGGTTTGTAAATACACCAATCAGTACTCTGTGTCTAGCTCAAGGTTTGTGAATACACTCTGTATCTAGCTAATCTACTGGGGACTTGGAGGACTACCACTCTATGATTGTGTCTGGCTCAAGGATTGTAAAGGCACCAACCAGCACTCTGTCTAGCTCAGGGTTTGTAAATACACCAATCAGTACTCTGTGTCTAGCTCAAGGTTTGTAAATACACCAATTGGTACTCCCTATTTAGCTAACTCTGTATCTAGCTAACTAGCACTCTGTGACTGGGTGTCTAGCTCAAGGATTGTAAACGCACCAATCAGCACTCTGTCAAAACGGACCAATCAACTCTCTGTAAAGTGGACCAATCAGCTCTCTTTAAAATGAACCAATCAGCAGGATGTGGGTGTGTTGGGGTCCCTGCCCAGGGTGGTGGAGAATGAAAGAACACACAAAAGACAAAGACACACAGAGAACATGGCGGCCGCGCTCAGAGCCTCTGCCTCACTTTATTTATACTCCATAAACCCCACGTCAGCAGAAAGAATGCAATGCAAAACAAACTTTCTTTTCCCAGATGTAACCTTCTACTCAGTTGTTTCTATGCTCTTCCTTATCTGCCCGCCTTCTTGGCGCCTATGGGAGTTCATTAAAAGTTCAATTGGAGATACTGTCCTTGAGCCCTATCTATTCTCAGCATACTGTTTTCAAAGACCCCTGCATGGGGTGGGGCCAGATAAGCAAATAAAAGCAGGCTGCCAGGCCAGCAGTGGCAACCCAGGTCCACTTCCACACTGTGGAAGCTTTGTTCTTTTGCTCTTTGCAATAAGCCTTGCTGCTGCTCACTCTGTGAGTCCATGCTGCCTTTGTGAGCTGTAACACTCACCAGCAAAGGTCTGCAGCTTCACTCCTGACAGGGAGACCACAATCCACCAGAAGGAAAAAGCTCCAGACACATCTGAACCTCTGAAGGAACAAACTCCAGACACACCATCTTTAAGAACTGTAACACTCACCGTGAGGGTCTGCAGCTTCATTCTTGAAGTCGGTGAGACCAAGAACCCACCAAGTTCGGACACAGTACCAGGTCATTCTGTGATCGTAATGAAGTGAGACAACAAACAAGATCACACTATTTTTGCCTAACCAGATTTTTAAAAAGGTCACTGTGGAAACTACAAAAATATCAAACTATCCTCCTCCCCCAGCTAATATAATTGTTGCTTCTTTACTGATTACAGCTTTAGCCTTGCACTTTTCCTCCCTCCTAAAGGTAAGATGTAGTATGATCCCCAATGGCAGCGGACCCCACAGCCACTGCGCACTGAGACACTCCACAGCCAATCCCAAGCCACATCAGGCTCGCCCCTGCCTGTACACAATAATTTCTCTATGCACCTAATCATCTTCTGAAACTCCCTGTACCTAGCTGAAGAGTATATTCCTTTAATCAATGATTACTTTTGTTCCCTCCTTTAGAACTGAAAAACAATGCTAAGGCCTCTCCCACTCCCTCTAGCCTCTCATCCTCTTAAAATAGAAGAGGAAAAAAATCCAAACATAAAACTCAATTTTTAACAAAAACACTCCTTTCGCTGACACTGCCCTCCCCAAATAAGTCACCAGTGGGTTCCTTCCTTGTTTTCCTAGAGACTTTTCTTTTTTGCATTTTAGTGTCATTTTTCTTCCTCCTTCAGTCTGACATGTCCCTTTCATTCTTAGTTTGCTGATCAAACTCATATTAAGGAAAATAAGTTCCTTTCCGCTTTTTAACCCCTCACCCCCATCTCAAATGACAAATGCATCTAGGAATCCCTTTTCACACTCACTCTGGCATTGCCCTCTCTCAGGAACCTTCCAAAGTTATTCTAACCCGACCCCTCCACTTGTACAAGCCCAGCGGCCCCATAGCTTGCCCATCCTTGCAAACCAGTACTCATCCTATAACCTGCCCCAACCGGATCAATCCCATATATCCGATTCCAGCCCTGGGCCCAAATTCCATACCCATATCCAAGTCCGCGCCCCACTAACTCCAGTCCCGCACCTATGCTTGCCTGAACCAGCACGTGATCCCGGCCGACTCCACAGCCAATGAGTTCCCCGAGTCCACACCCATAGCCAATCCCCGGCCACGTCCAGGCCCGCCTCCATCTTATCCCCTTCCTCACTCAAGCCCAACCCGCGGCCCCCACCCCTTCCCTCCTCCATTTCCATCCGGTCCGCGATCGCGGCGGACCCCACAGTCAACGCGCGCCGTGAGTCACACTCCACAGCCAATCCCTGGCCACATCCGGGCTCGCCCCCGGCCCGCCCCATTGTTCCCACAAGCCCGGAACCCACCAAATCCCGCCCCTCCCCTCCCAAAAAAACACCCCTTATCCAGTCTTTTCCAGCCTAGAGATCACAGCCTAGCCCTCAGCCAAAGCGCGCACTGAGTGCAAACCCCAGAGTCAGTCCGTGTCCCGGCTCCGCCCCCCGCGTCCGAATCCCGCCCAGCCAGGCCCTCAAGCCCAGGCGGGTCTCGAGCCTGGAGAGGCGAGGTTCCAGCACCAGATAGGTGAGTGGGGCGGGCGCGCGGAGCGGCTCGGCGCGGCGCTTCAGTGCGGACTGACGAGGGCCTTTCCGGCCTGCGGGGCGAGGGGACGGAGGCCGGGCTGCTCTTGCCTGAGTCACGCGAGAGCCGCCTGCTGGGGCGGCTGCAGGGAGTCGGCCCTGGATTAACAGTTTGAAGGGAAGGCGCCGAGGTGACTGGCCTCCAAGAGGGATCCCCTAGACCCGGTCACCGTCTTGGCGCTTTTACTCTTGATTTCGCTGTTTGGGCTTTTAGAAGGTAGTCTGAGAAGAGTGACTTTGGGACTCTTAATTTAAAAATCCAAAAGACGCTGACGCCTATAATCCCAGCTCTTTAGGAGGCCGAGGCGGTCGGATCATGACGTCAGGAGATCAGTTAGCCATCCTGGCTAACACGGTGAAACACCGTCTCTGCTAAAAATACAAAAAATTAGCTGGGCGTCGTGGTGGGCGCCTATAGTCCCAGCTACTCGGGAGGCTGAGGCAGGAGAATGGCGTGAGCCCGTGGGCGGAGCTTGCAGTGAGCCGAGATTGCGCCACTGCACTCCAGTCTGGGCGACAGAGCGAGACTCCGTCTCAAAAAAAAAAAAAAAAATCCAAAAGGAGGATACCAAGGCTGTTAGGTTGTCTTATAAATGAAGCTTAGCAGAATCCAACATCTGTAGTTAAAAGAGAAAAGTAGTCAAGTCTGTTGCTTTTGGAGTCAAGTGGCGCAGAAATGGCCTTCCTTCGCTTCTCCCACGCGTGGCTCCTTTGCGGCCACCTGAGGAGGACTGGGGCTGCAGGTCAGCCCTTAGCAAGTCTGACCTCGGGAGCTAAAACCGAATTCCTGGTATCACCCAGGCAGCCACACTGCTTTCCCTCTGGAGAAGTTTATAGTTACACGAATCCCATTTTCGTAGAACAGGTTTTCAGCATTTTCAGGCTGGTGTCTCCTTAAATCATGTGCTGCCCAACTTTGGCCAATTCTTTCCGCTGTTCTAAAGACGTAGCTTTGAAGTCCATCCTTCCACAGTACTCCCCCGTCCAGGACTTTGTTCACCGCCTAGATTCCCTGTGTTGTATCAGTGAACCTTATAAACATTCTAGAAGCAAACTAACAAGGTAGAGTATGAAAGGAAAATCAGTTTTCCAGTGGTCGGACTCTTGTAACAGTGTGGGCGGCGCATTATTAGCTGTAGCCCTTTTTGCCTCATGTTAATCTTGCTTGAACTTGCAGTTAACACAGATGTTCTGGGCTTTGTCAAATTAAATCTCTTCCTACCTCTCCTCCCCATGTGTAAAGTATAAATTGATCATTTGGATTTAAGTCTGGAGCTTTAAGCTTCATAAGATTTATTTTGACTGCCTTGTCTGCCTTTTAGCCTTATATTCGGCCCTCAAAAATTCACCAGCTTTCTCAGCTTCAGGCCACCCCCAAATCTGCCAAGCATGCCCTCTGAATCTTCATTTTAAACAGTCTAACCCATTGATAATAATTCAACAGTTTCATTTGTATAGATCGTGCGTTTTGGAATGTGGACTTTATGCATAATATGTTATAATTAGATCACATAGATCATCCTGATTCATAAGTTGCCAGGTTTTCTTCACAGAAGTTGTTTTTAGGGAGAAAAATACAATGAAAATATTGTTTAGAATTAAGAGCCATATACCTTTTTATTTTCTTCTATCTTTTTGGTGACATCTAAATTTAATGTATTTATCTCATTGGTGAATATATATATGCAGTGTTGATTGCATTAGAAAATGCTGCTCAAAATGTGTTTACTTAATAAAATACCTGGTACCTAGAGAGTATGGCTCACCCAGTCTGGGGTGAAATCTCCCAGAAGCTGCACTCCAAGCTCACTTGCTTTTATTATTAGCACATTACCTCCATCATGCGGTGTACTTCCTGGCAACTGACCCAGCTCTTCCTTTCTCTTCCATTGTCCAAAGTTTCAACTGTTCTCTTTTGGGACAGTTGTGCCATAATCAGCAAATTCCATTGTATCTTTATGTCTTTAGAGGGTTCCCTCTACCTGCTTGCTTTAACTCAAACCTTATTAATTTATTCATCTATTGTGAAAAATGGAGAAACTGAGGCCCAGCAGGAGTCCATAACTTGACTACAGATAGACACTTCTTAAGATTGAATTCGACTTTAATTTCTTAATGTGGTGAATCACATTAATAGGTGTCTTATATAAACCCAACCCCCCTTGGTCATGATGTATTATTCTTCTTGTATACTACTGGGTTTGATTTGTTAGCATTTTATGTAGAAGTTCTGTTTAGTTTCCATAGATTAGGTCTCTTCTCTAAGGTTTGATAACTGTTAGACGAAATGCCATCCACTGATATAGCAGCCTTATACTTAAGAGGCTTAAGAGAACAACATTCTCAGAGTAAAACCTTATGAGAAATATCTATTTGCCTGAATGTTTTTAGAAAACTGGGTTTTCTTTCCACTTCCAAGTAGCAGTATTATTATAATAGAGTTTCATTGCCTTAATCTTCCTCCATTTACCCATGATGGATATCAATTTCCTTACAGGTAGAGAAGCAATTCAGAATGCATGCCTATCATGCCACTGGAATCCACTAAAATGGCTTGCGGGAATTGTTGGAGGAAGTACCTTCAGAATAACCTAAGATTCACTCTATAGTCTTTCTATTTATCAAGGACCTACTATCATTCATCTTTTCAAATAACTTTTTAAATAATTGTTCCTAACAACTTTAATTTACTGTTACAAATTGTGCTTTTACTAGTGACTGTTATCCAGAGGATTCTGAAATTTGAGTCGTTCCTAGGTTGAAATACTCTGGATTTTATGGCTGCTAGAAATGGAACTTTCACTTACTGAAATTTAATGCTCTTGACTAAATTAAAGCCTTGGTTTCTGAATTAAGAATATTCTTACAGCTCTCTAGTTTGAAATGATGTGAATATAAATTTGTATAAGGAAGAATACATTTATTAGAATGCTTCCAGTGATGAGAGATTATATCATAGAAAGAAAACTTGAAAGAAAGTAAGCTCACTTATCAAAAATGTTTGCTTGGATTTTACGTAAGCTTATGATATACCAGCTGGCTGTAAGTGTCTGATAATGATGTACCCATCATATATTTATTCCTCTTCTCAACTTTTCTTTTATTTAATAGCATGTTTTTGGCCCAGAGGAGCCTCTGCTTTCCTAGTGGTAGAGCAAAATTCCTGAAGACAATTTCTTCTTCCAAAATCCTCGGATTCTCTGCTTCTGCTGTAGGTATTGCTTACTTACAGATAAATTATTGTACATATTCTGCACTGTCCAAAAAATACGTAATTCTTTATGTAATTCTTCAGATGCTTTTTTACAAATATTTTATTGAAATGAACATTTCTATTATATATGATGGAGATGTCTCTTGTCGTTGACTAGAATTAACATTCACTGAGCAACTGCTTGCCTGTCTGTGGATCAGGCAATGTGCTGGTCATTATATATTCATTACCTCATTTTGTCTTCACAAAAGTGTTCAAGTTAATGAATATAAGTCCAGTGGCATGGGAAAAAAGTAGGAGAGGATATCTCAGGAGGACTGCTCAGGGATGGAAAAAGGTTTAAAAACCATAACCACCAAATACAATGCATACATCTGCTTTAGGAACTTTATTCAGTCAACCAAAATGCATTTTTTAAAGACAATCAGAGAGATAAGAATGTGGACTGGGTATTAGATGATAATAAGAAATTATTGTTGGTGAGGTGTGGTAATGAAATTGCAGTTATATAAGCGGCAGTACTTTTGAGATATATGCCAAGTATGTAGGAGTGTAATGACTTAAGGTCTAAGATTTGCTTTAAAGTTACTCAGCAATTAAAGAAAAAAAAAAGGAGGCAAAATCTTGAGAATTACTGAATCTGGGTAGTGGGCATATGAGTGTTTTATATTAGGTTAAAATATATGAAATTGCTACTTTTTGTATGAAAATTCCATTTTTGGCATATGAAGTGCCATTTTTGTCATACATGGTTGAATGTTGGCAATTTTGTGTTCAACCTAATTCTAATCTCTCAGCTGGTTTAAAATTTTCTCAGTGGTTCAAAATTTTCATAAAAAGCATCATCAGTGTCTTCTATATGTAAATCCTATGAATTCTACCTCATAACTGTTTTGAATTCTCTCCTCTTTAATGCCACCGTGACCACCTTTTTCAGACCCTCTCCCAACATAGAAGTTGGTTGAAGCCAAGGAAGTGGGTGTGCTTCGCCAAGGTGGTCATATGAAACCGTGGCACTAAAAGGGCATTTGTGTGCAGAATCCTCATTTGTGGAACTTTTATTAGACTACGTATGCCAGGGCCTACCATTATGCATTCTGATTCTACATATCTGAAATGTATTTTGAAAAATCTTTCCAGGTGATTCTGATGTATGTCCCAGGCAAGAACCACTAACAATGCATTATTCAAACTTGTGGACTATTTGGGATAGCACTAAATCCTCTCCATGCCTAGCAGTGGAATGGTTGGGTTGTGTGCCAAACCCAACCATTTAATTAAGTAACTGCCAAAGTGTTTGTATCATTTTAACTACACTGAAAAACTGTCTATAGTTCATCAGAGGCTTTGCATTTAAAATAATTGCACAGGGATAAAGAGATAAATATTCTTCCTATTGCTGGGCAAATGAAAAACACTGGCCAGTGTTACAAAAGCAACAGTGATAAGTTTAAATTAAGAAAGAGTTGTCAGAACCAGCCAGGTAAGTTACTGTGAACCTACTTAGAATATTCGTTTCATCCACATCATCCTTAATGTCATTGAAAACCTACCGGGAAGGTTACCTCCAAGTGAGGGAATAGAATGGAGGATAGACTGTACTTTCCTGTATTACTTGCTTTTTTACAAAAACATTTTACGTATTCTCTAATTTTAAAGACTGTTTTGAATACTAAAGGAAAAATGTAGGTGAGGCACGGTGGCTCACACCTGCAGTCCCAGCACTTTGG